CCACTACCACTCTCCAGCATAGAGTTCCTCCCATTACCACCTCCTGCATCCTTTTAGGTTCTCCTCCACATATTCCCAGCCTATCAGCATTGGTTTCTGGTCTTCAGGTGCGACTCATCTGTCCTGTATTAAGGTGAATCACCTATGGTGAGCTGAGATCAGGTGTTTCCTCCCCTGAGGGTGTGAACAACTGTGCTGGTTGCTGCCCTATCCCAGGCATCCCTGTCGCCTGTCCCTTCACTTATGGGCTTCCCTGCACCCCAACCTAGGAGAACTTATGAGGTAAGAGGATTATCCCATTGTACCCCCGGATTTACCTCAGGGCTTCCTGGGACTGCTGCACTGGGACCAGCTCTCCAGCTGCCCTGCTCTAGCCAGCACTGCAGCTCATCCCATTGCTAGCGAGGCATCTTGCCTCCTGGACACTGAAGGGAAGGGAGCAAGCAGGAATTTCCTCCACATGACTCCCCCTGTCCTCCTACAATTTAATGTCCAAAGATACTCTTCCCCATTCTGGTTATATGGATCCTGTGTGTTGATAGTACTTTTGACACTATGGATTTCTACTGAAATCTTTATCATGTGAATCATGTGTAAGTGTTTACACACTTTATATTACATGGCACCCTACTACATCCTTTAGAGAATCTCATGACACCCTGGTTGAGAATCACTTCTGTAGTCTAGACAATTGCTATGCATACTATCTGGGTCTAACAGTGAATGTCACCAAGCAAATCTAAACAGTAAAGAATGCAGCTATTCCATTTGAGAAAGATAGCTTGTGACCACATTGAGCCCATCCTGTACATGCAGAACTGGCTGTCATTTATCAGTTCAGTGAAATGCCAAAAGCTCCCTACTATTAACCTCTGAACAGTGTTGCTTCAGAGACTACTACTCCCTTCTGACCCAAAATATTAATCATCTTCAATTCAAATGCTAGTTCTCATGAATGGTCAAGATTTTTATGGACCATAGTAATTTTTCTAGTAACTCACCACTTGTAGAATTTCCTGCTAGAAATACACACAAATGTCATGTGCCTACATAGAGGGGAAAAAATTGAAAGATGCACTGATTTGTCTAGGCCTCTCACCAAGGCCTGAATCATACAGTCCTTACATTTAACATTTTTTCTCCGTCCAGTAAAATTGCTAGACTACAGAGGATGTATGACTTGTTACAAGGGTTGATTTCTTGTTCTGGGAAAACATTATATTAAATTATGGATTATGTATTTTAAATCCTGCAAGCAGTGGTGAAGAGAATACTATTTAAGCATAAGTTTCCCTAACATTAATTTCATATGGCTGGGGCTCAAGCCCTGAATGTAATAGAGCTTAGAACTCTAAACTGAAACGTTGATAGGTCAGGAAGGAAATACTGGATAGACATACTGATATAGCAATGACTTATAGATAATTGTTACTCATTTTTTTAATTTTAAAAATCTGTAATTATATTTTAGGTTTATGCTTTAAGCAAGTTTTTCTTTTAGTAGTCGCAATTACTATATGTTGGAGCAGGCAAATGGGATAGGGCCAGATTGTGTTGTACCTCAGTTACCAAAAGATGGAGAGAGAAAATGAATTCTAAATATTTTTTTTTTTTTTAAAGGTTGTAGCTCTTAGAAAATTATTCCAAATTTAGTTACAGCACAGTACAGCTGATGACTCAATAAAATAAAGACTGAGAACATGTTATATGCTTTGTTTCCAATGTTAAAACTTCTTAACTTTCTTCTGACCTGTCCACAAGACAGGCAAAAACTATGTTATCTCAATTTTTTTTCAGTAAACTTTTTAAAAATACAGGTTTCCTATTTTAGATGTTTTTATTATGGTTTTTCTGCGTTTAGGCTACATGGAATCTGCTGGCTCATAACAAAACTGAGAGAAATGTTGATTCTCCTCCCTCCACTGATAAACGGTAGTAATAGCCGTGTCTATGTGGAAATCCTTGAGCACACGTTTTGTCATTGCATTTACATCTGTGCTAGCAATAACTACAGTATACAAGTTCAAACTGTACTGATCAACTGGGAACAATTACTTTTACTAGCTTTTTCAAACAGTTAGAAAACATGTTTTTAAAAACTGTGCCCACACTGTCAGAACTCTTGCCAGTGCTAACCCTGATACAATGGAAGTGCAATGAAGAAAGATTTCCTGAAAATTGTAAGTAAAGATGCAATCATAATGACCCCTGTTGCATATTAGCCACCGAGTAAAACCATTGAAATCTGATTGTTCTTAAGTGCCTTGCATTTCCCCACTAATTATTTACCTTTATTCTGTAAAGAAGATTTTTATTATGACTATTTCTTTGGCTTATTCATTTTTAATCCTTGACAGGGCTTTAGCCCTTACCTTGTGGCTACTTATTTTCCTTACTAGTTTCTTGTGAGGGATTTTATCAAAAACCTTTTGAAAATTTAAGTAAATTACTTCCACCAGATGCCCTTTATCCACTGTATTTTTGACTTGCAGAATTTAACAGGTCAGAAAGGCATGACTTACCCTTATAGCAACTAGGCTTGTTTGATCGTATCAGCATATACTTATCCAAGAGTTTCATTCCTCTATCCTTAATTATACTCTTTCAGTTTTCCTGTTACTGAGGTGAAGCTCAGCAGATTATGATTCCTATAGTCCTGTCATTCCTTTCAAAATTTGAGCAGCAGGTTAAAAACTTCTCAATCTAAAAGAACATTTTGTGTTAAGGAATACACATTATTTACAGTTTACCTTCTCTAGCTTAGTCTTCTGTTTCCATTTTGGTATTAAAGTGTTTTTACTTTTTAAATCAGCAGCAAGTACCGAATAAAGAATGCTTTCACTCTTCTACCATAAATACAAAGCAAGCATGAGCTATTATAAGAGCAGAGGATTAGGTGAGGCAGTTATAACATGTATTGCAAATATGTTAAAATAGTAAAATGTTATTTTAAATACAATCATTTTCAAAACAAGTCAGATAAAATTCATTTCAGTACTGTAAAGCCTGATTATTCAAATTTTATACAAATAAAGTTATTAAAAAAAATGGGGAGGATAATACAAATTTCACCCCTCACCCTCACCAGAGGTAGGAAGTGGGACAATTGAGAAGTCCCTTTCTGGTTCTGTCTTGTGGTTTTTCCCAGATAGGTTCTGCAACAGTAGTTGTAGCTTCCTCCACATTATTCGCATAGGTTAACAGAGTTTCTGCATCCACACAATTGGATTTGCAGCATCTACTCTACTCGTCTTCCTCTAATATATCCTTCAACATTGACTTGTGACATGAAGACCCTTCCTGTAACATACAGGGCACTGGCATGTGCAGGTCCCTGCTCTAACTCAGGGCACTTTGCATAAAGTGTCACAAGTTAGAGTCACCCCTTGACCCAACAGATGTTTGCCTATTGGGTTGGAGGTGGAGAAATCGATCCTGCCTGCCTGTCCTGCAATCAGGGCTGGGCTGATGCAGGCCACTCTGCCTCCCCCCCCCCAAGCTCTGCTGCTGTCTACAGGAAGGGAGGGTAGAGTGGTGCAGAGAGACCTTCACATCCAAAAAATTCACACTCAATGGAGGTAAGAGTGCTTGGGCATCCTTGTCATCCTTCTTCCTGAGGCAGAGACAATGCCCGGGCCCTAAAAAGTTTAGTCTGAAGCCTCAAATTTACAAATACTTAGATTGTTTTATAGAGTCTGAGCAGTCTAATTTAAGACAATGGAAATTATGACCTACTGAAGTCCACTGCAAGCCCTCTAGGTAGTTCAAGGTTTCATCTAGCAGTGAATAATGTTAAATCTTCACCTTCCCCCTTTTTTTGGGTTCATTTTTAAGTGGGTGTATTTATAGTCAATAAGTCTATACTCAAAATGTGAGCCTCATTAATGGAAAATTTATAAAACTTTTAAATGTTTTACTTTTAAATGTTAAAATTTATAAATATTTTAAATGTGAAACAGCACCTTAAAAATGAAGTTTTTCCAAACTGCTATTTTCAAATTTTAGATCATAAACATCAAAAAGTTATTAACTTTAAAAATAGTTTGCCTGAAAATAAAAACAAATTATGACAGTTTTGTTAACACTTTTATTATTTTTGAAAAAAAAGTGTTTTATAAGCAAGTAATATTTTAAAATATATCTTTTACATTGTGGACAACTTTTAACAAAAATCATGTTTTTGGACAAGTTCATATTCTTTTACCAAAATAACATTAAAACACTTTAATCTCCAATGCTGAAACTGTATTTGCATCATTCTGTTTTTTTCTTATTCTACTTTGTCCTTTGTTTCAACTAATGAACATTTGGTTTATTTACATTGGGTGTGCTTTGACCTCTCCCTATTATTTTAGTATTTTGTGTGGGATTTTTTTTCTTTTTCCATACTTTTCAACATTATTTTCCGACTACTGAGATAGAGGGTTATTGTATATGCAGGGTATACCTAATTCCAAAATACATAATGTGGTTACTGTCAGGAAGAAGTATTTTAGGAACAGAAGATAGTCTCCATAGCTGAATTACCCAGATCTAAATTTGAGCTCAGTACAATCAACTGAGACTTGTATATGAGGATCAAAGGACTAACAAACCCCATCACTGTTTCATATTGGATAAAGCTGCATAGCTAAGATTATTCATGACTACCGGAGGATTTACTTAAATAACTTCTTTCTGAATATCCGAAAGGTGCACCATCTTGTCAAAATGCCTTGAGAATTCAAGAAGTGTTCAGAATCAACACAATAAGTTTATCTACCTTTATTTTATAAAGACAGATACACTTTCAGTATCTATAACTTGTTTCAAACCTTAACAAAAATATTCTATGAAATTAGGAAAACAGTATAAATGTATATTTACGTTTTAAACAACTATTCACTTCAAAATATACCATTATTTTGTTAGAAGTGTTATCAGTTAATACTTAACATTAAATTACCTTTGAATTCTTTGTATAGCATTCACTTATTTAAGCCTATGAATATAGGCGGTGGGGCGGAGTGGGATAGACAATATGTGAGTATCCTGATAGGGCTGGTTATTCTGTTTGTGAGTTAGTTTCAGAATTAAACATTTTGGAATTCAGCCATCAGAGAATCTATTTCTTTAAACTTATTTGTTATATTCTCAATACAATCCACCACCCTGAAAGCTATTCCATCAATAACAACACAGTCCTCTTGGCAGTAGCTTTCTGCTGGACTTCCTTCAGTAATCTCTGTATTGGATTTAGTTACCTGAAAAGAAAATATGCATTCTCTAGATGCATTACACTTGAAAGAAATATCATTATCCACTATATTTTATTATCAAGATTTTAAAGATCAGTCAATACATAGTCCTCCCACAAGTAAAACAAACTGTAGTCATAAGCAGAGAGGTAGAAATCCATTTATGCATACAATAAGGTAAATGCAAAGATTCTGGAAGAATATAGCTATACACTGCATTCTGAATATTAGTTAATAGTCTTTTAAGGTATATTTATTGAAATAAAATTTCTTCTATTACATCATTATATTACAGACACCTAATTACTTGAAAAATTAAAAAGAAGAGCCTTTACCAAAAATACTGTGAAATATATCTCAAAATATAGGGCAAAAGTGATACCTTGCAATATGCAATACAAAAATTAGCATACTATGGATAAAGACCTCCAAGGGAATTGGAGCTCTGCAGCATTCTCCCCAATTTCATGAATCTCTGAAGTCTGTTCGAATTACAGTCTTCATCATTCTTCAGAAGAACTTGAGGAGGGAGAAGAAACTGTTTGTATAGTACATATAATTATATTCCTTGGGAACTAGATGCACTTGCAATGGGAAGTTTTGCCTGAGACAGCCCCCTCTTCCTAAATCTCTTGAGTTGAGTGATAGTCCTGCTGTGAGGAAGTGGAGCTATCCTTGGGAAAGCAAAGACAAAGGAACAGTATAAGAGCACTTAGCTTTTGCCCAGATGCTCTTACTTTTCAAGGGTGTCTTAAGCTTTATGCTGATTTCAAGGCATGTGTAGCTTTAAGGGGCTAAACACTGGTGGTTACACAAAAAAGACCCAGTCCCTGACTAAACACTTTGAAAAGTGTTTAAGCAGTTTCTTAATTTGCATACCCATGTCCACTCAGCGATATCCATTCACCAAGGGACAAATTTGTAACACAGACAATACAAAAATTGGATCTAAATATATTTTCATCCTGTTTACTGCTGTATTTTCTCACATACAACATGCCCCCAAATAAAACAACCACTCTGGGGCATTATTACACATGCTCCAGGGATGAAGCAGGGGATGCTTTCATTAGAGTGGCTCTGAGAGCCACTCTAATTAAAGTGCCTGCAGTGTATTGGCATCCCTGACCTTCAAAATGGCAGGGTTGAATGAGCTTTAGTTGAAGTGCCTCACTACCATTTAGAAGCATGGGGATGATTCATCAGTGACTTGGATGAGGGGGTAAAAAGCACCCTATTCAAATTTGCTGATGACACTAAGATGTGGGGGGATGTGGGCACGCTAGAATGGAGGAACAGGCTGCAATTTGATCTGGACAGGATACAGGGGTGGGCAGATGAGAACAGGATGGGTTTCAACCCTGACAAGTGCAAGGTGCTGCACCTGGGGAGGAAGAACCAGCAGCATACCTACAGGCTGGGGAACTCCCTTCTTGTTAGTGCAGAGGCAGAAAGGGATCTTGGAATCATTATTGATGACAAAATGAACATGGGCCGACAGTGTGGGGACGCGGTCAGGAGGGCCAACCACACCTTGTCATGCATCCACAGATGCATCTCAAGCAGGTCCAAGGAGATGATCCTCCCCCTCTATGCGGCACTGGTCAGGCTGCAGTTGGAGTACTGCATCCAGTTCTGGGCGCCACACTTCAGGAGAGATGTGGACAGCATTGAGAGGGTTCAGAAAAGGGCCACCCGCATGATCGGGGGCAGCAGGGCAGGCCCTATGAGAAGAGGCTGAGGGACCTGAACCTGTTCAGCCTCCACAAGAGAAGGCTGAAGGGGGAATCTAGTGGCCTGTTACAAACTAGTCAGAGGGGACCAGCAGGCATTGGGGGAGTCCCTGTTCTCCTGAGCACTCCCAGGAGTGACTAGAAATAACAGTGACAAGCTGGCAGAGGGTAGATTCAAACTAGACATCAGAAGGCATTACTTCACTGTCAGGGCCGCTAGGATCTGGAACCAACTTCCAAGCGAAGTGGTGCTGGCTCCTACCCTGGGGGTCTTTAAGAGGAGGTTAGATGAACACCTCGTTGGGGTTGTTTGACCCCAGTACTTCTTCTTGCCATGGCAGGGGGTCGGACTTGATGATCTGCTCAGGTCCCTTCCAACCCTACCAACTATGAAACTATGATACATGAGACATGGAGGCTGCTGGAGCATGCTAATTAGCACGCTCCAGCAGATTCAATTAACTGAGTCTGCTCAAGACACGCTGTAATTATAGTGCATCTTAGCAACTCCCTGCACACCTACAGGCACCCTTTGTTTTTGGAAGGCACAATATTTAGAAACCTATATAAATTCTTCTGAAATACTCAATGCCTTTTTCACCTCAGAGTCCACAGGCAAATTCAGCTCCTGGACCACTGCACCTGGCAGCACAGTCTGGAAAGGAGATGAGCAGCCAAAAGTGGTGAAAAAATAGGTTAGGGCCTATTTAGAAAAAAGATGGATGTGTGCAAGTCTATGGGGCTGGATGTGACACACTCAAGGATGCTAAGGGAGTTGGCTGACCTGGTTGCAGAAGCACTGGCTATTATCTTTGAAAACTTGTGGTGATTGGGAAAGGTCCTGCATGATTGGAAAAGGGCATCTTTTATATAGTGTCCATCTTTAAGAAAGGGAAGAAGGAGGTTCCAAGGAACTACAGTCTGGTCAGCCTCACTTCCATCCCTGGATAAATCATGGAGCAGATCCTCAAGGAATCCATCGCTAAGCAATTGGAAGAGAAGGAGGTGATTAGGAGCAGTCAGAATGGATTCACCAAGAAGAAGTTATACTTGAAAAATCTGATTGCCTTCTATGATGAGATGACTGGCTCTGTGGATGCAGGAAGAGCAGTGGAGGAGATATACCTTGACTTTAGCAAGATTTTGACATAGTCTCTCCAAGTATTCTCACGAGCAAGATAAAGAAGCACAGGTTGGATGAATGGACTGTAAGGTGGATAGAAAACTGGCTGGATCAGGCTCGGAAGGTAGTAATCAATGGCTTGATGTCTAGTCAGCTGCCAGTATCAAGTGGAGTGCTGTAGGAATTTACAGATGACACCAAGCCGGGGGAGTAGTAAGAGGGTTGGGCTAGGATTCAAAGAGACCTCAGCAAATTGGAGAAGTGGACCGAAATAAATCTCATAAGGTTCAATAAGGAGAAGTACAAAGTTCTGCACTTAGGACAGAACAATTCCATGCACTGGTACAGGCTGGAGACTGACTGGCTAAGCAGCAGCTCTTCAGAAAAGGATCTGGGGGTTACAGTGGGCAATAAGCTGAATATAAACTAACAGCGTTAGTTTTTTGGGCCTTTTTTGTGTTGTCAAGAAAGCTAGTGGCATACTGTGCCACGTTAGTAAGAGTATTGCCATGAGATCAATGAAAGTGATTCTTCCCCTCTGTTCAGCACTGGTGAGGCCACATCTGTAATACTGTGTCCAGTTCTGGACTCCCCACTACAGAAAGGATATAGAACAAATTGGAGAGGTGGAGGGCAGTGAAAATGGTTAGGGGCTTGTACACATGGCTTCTGAGGAGAGGCTGAGGGAATTGGGCTTAGTCTAGAAAAGAGAAGACTGAAAGGGGATTTAATAGCAGCCTTCAACTACTTGAAGGGTGGTCCCAAAGAGGATAGAGTAACTGTTTTTAGTGGCAGATGACAGAACAAGAAGCAATGATCTCAAGTTACAGCAAGGGAAGTTTAGGAAAAATTCTCACTAGGAAGGTAGTAAAGCACTGAAATAGGCTACCCAGAAAGGCTGTGGACTCTCCATTGTTGGATCCAGCCAGGTAGGTATCCAGCCTCTTCTTAAAGATCCCCAGGGTAGGGGCCAGCACCACCTCCCTTGGAAGTTGGTTCCAGCTCCTAGCCGCCCTAACTGTGAAGTAGTTTTTTCGGATGTCCAATCTGTACCTCCTCTCCATCAACTTGTGCCCATTACTCCTTGTTATGCCAGCGGGGGCTAGGGGAAACAGCGTCTCCCCCAAACCCTTCTGGTTCCCCCTAGTGAGTTTATAGACGGTCACCAGGTCCCCCCTCAGCCTTCTCTTGTGGAGGCTGAATAGGTTCAGGTCCCGCAGTCTCTCACTGTAGGGTCTGCCCTGTTGTCCCCGGATCATGCGGGTGGCCCTCCTCTGGACCCTCTCCATGTTGTCCACATCCCTCCTGAAATGGGGCGCACAGAACTGGACACAATACTCCAGCTGCGGCCTGACCAGCGTCGCATAGAGGGGGAGGATCACCTCCCTGGCTCTACTCGAGATGCACCTGTGGATGCACGACAAGGTCCGGTTAGCCCTGCCAACCATGACCTCGCATTGTCGGCCCATGTTCATCTTGGAGTCAATAATGACACCAAGATCCCTTTCCGCCTCCATGCTCTCAAGTAGGGAGTTCCCCATCGTATAAGTGTGCTGCTGGTTCCTACTACCCAAGTGCAGCACCCTGCACTTGTCCGTATTGAAACACATCCTGTTCCTGTTTGTCCACCCCTGTAACCTATCCAGATCCTTCTGCAATCTCTCTCTCCCTGCTAGCGTGCTCACCTCCCCCCAAATTTTGGTGTCATCAGCGAATTTAAACAGGTTGCTTTCCACCCCAACATCAAGATCACTGATGAAGAAATTGAACAGCGCAGGCCCCAGGACCGAGCCCTGGGGGACTCCACTACCCACCTCCCCCCAAGTCGAGTATGATCCATCCACCACCACCCTCTGAGTGCGACCCTTCAGCCAATCTGCAATCCATCTGACTGTGTAGGCATCTATGCCACAGTCGCCTAGCTTATTAATTAGGATGGGGTGAGAGACGGTGTCAAAGGTCTTTGTTAAGACCTGGCTAGACAAAGCCTTTGCTGGGATGATATAGTTGGGGATGATCCTGCTTTGAGTACAGGACTGGACTAAATGACCTCCTGAGGTCCCTTCCAACCCAATTTTCTATGGTTCTACGAGTCCATTTTTTTCCCCTGACCATGACTAACGTAATAAATCCTCCTGGAACATAGTGTC